TATATATATGTATATATGTGTGCAATGGTACTAGTTTGGGGTCAAAATGTGATTTAAGAAAAATATGAAGGCGTTGGGTTTAATTTATGAATTGAAACATTTATTTTAGTGTAGAATTTAAATTAAATTGGGGTTAGAGAGTGAAATTCGGTTTGGATTTCTTGTTTCGAACAAAAACGCGATCAACTAACGAACGTGATAAAGACCGGAAAGCCTAGGGTTGCAAGTGATAATTTCATATTTAGGGAGTCAATTAGGGTATTAGAAATTATTTCTAAGTTTCCAAAATCGATTAGGGTTTGCGATTTTTTGTTGGCTCGTGTATTTTGATCCTAGGTTTGCAATTAATTAAGAATCTGATGGACTTCAAGGAAATAATTTAAAAGTAAGGGACTTTTAAGAAATTAAAATTTTCAGGGGCCTCACAAGTAACAAGAGGAACTGATCTCCAAAACACCTTTTCTTTCTTCTTGAACTTACCTCCCTCTCACCAATGCATCAGAGAAACAACTATGCCAGGAACAACCCAATGTATCCCCCACCACTTCAATATTGATGACCAAACCTGCCACACAAATGGGCAATGAAGGAGCACATGAGTTACTGACTCCAAATCATGTTGACAGAAGCAGCATAGCGTACAATTTCCTCTAGATAGGACCCCAATTCTTTATAAAAATACGGAAGTCTTTACCTTATGTTTTCAGGCAAGCCAGCCAAAAAATTGAAATTTAGGTGGTAAGACTTCACTTCATAGCAACCTACTAACCTTAAGGTAATTTCCATCTTCTAGTGTGCAAAGCTTGTACAAAGAAGATACCGAAAAAATACCTGATGTTGCAGCTGTCCACTTTGGGTAATCAGTTCTATCCAGGCTTACTGAAGGACCAGTTGAGAGAATAGAGAATAAATTTTGCAATTCTACCATTTCCCATTCAAACAACTCTCTTCTAGGCAAAATTCTCCATTCCTCTGAGGTTTCCTTTAAAGCTGCAAACAGATGAAGTGAACCCCTCTTTTCCTATTTTTCTAGAATTTTTGAAAGTTGGCTGTAAAACAGATTTTTCTGGCACAAGTCAACTAGGGGAAATTTTCCAGTTATCTTGTGATGAAAACGTGCTAAATAATATGTATTAAACCCAAAAAATTAAGGTGAAGGTGTGCCTTTGGAAATTTTGAGAGTTTGATATGGAAAAAGGTAGGCTTATACCGATTAAGAGAAATACAAGAAGGATAGAATCGGGGCTCAACTCCTTTCATTTTTAACACATCTGAAAATACCATTTTAAACTTCTAATAAGGTGTATTTGAAAAAGGAAAATGAAAGAGAGAGTATTGTGACTTACTTGATTGCCTAGTGAAGTGTTTGCACAATTGTCCTACATTTTCCTCTTCTCTACTACCAAGGTTCACTCTCTTCCTCTTCTTTCTTTCTCTTAACAGAATGTGTAGGTGGGTGAGTTTATGAGATGTGTAACATGTGAAGGGTGGTGGTGTTTTTATAATAAAATTGGTGTAAAAGGTCCAAAATGCCCATTAGTTGGAATGTAATGAAATTGATATGTATTTAGTTGGAACGTAATGGAATGAAGGATCACTGGGGAGCCTAATCATGTGTTAAGGCATGATCTAGTTAGGGTTAGGCTTAAGTAGAACCAAGATAGTTACAAGTACAAGACAACTTTCCTTGATTTTGGGGTACCAATGATACTTTTTCCATGATTTAAGGGATTTGTCTCTAGAGTACCTATGATTGTAGCCTAGAGAGGGTGATGGCTGGCCATGTGCTAGATTTTGGGGGATTTTTGTTGATTTTATATATAGATATAAAGATATTTGTGTATAAAATTATTTATTTAAAAAAGGTACTTATATATATGTATATATGTGTGCAATGGTACTAGTTTGGGGTCAAAATGTGATTTAAGAAAAATATGAAGGCGTTGGGTTTAATTTATGAATTGGAACATTTATTTTAGTATAGAATTTAAATTAAATTGGGGTTAGAGAGCGAAATTCGGTTTGGATTTCTTGTTTCGATCAAAAACGCGATCAACTGACGAACGTGATAAAGACCGGAAAGCCTAGGGTTTCCAAGTGATAATTTCATATTTAGGGAGTCAATTTGAGTATTAGAAATTATTTCTAAGTTTCCAAAATCGATTAGGGTTTGCGGTTTTTTGTTGGCTCGTGTATTTTGATCCCAGGGTTGCAATTAATTAAGAAGCTGATGGACTTCAGGGAAATAATTTAAAAGTAAGGGACTTTTAAGAAATTAAAATTTTCAGGGGCCTCACAAGTAACAAGAGGAACTGATCTCCAAAATACCTTTTCTTTCTTCTTGAACTTACCTCCCTCTCACCAATGCATCAGAGAAACAACTATGCCAGGAACAACCCAATGTATCCCCCACCACTTCAATATTGATGACTAAACCTGCCACACAAATGGGCAATGAAGGAGCACATGAGTTACTGACTCCAAATCATGTTGACAGAAGCAGCACAGCATACAATTTCCTCTAAATAGGACCCCAATTCTCTGTAAAAATACGGAAGTCTTTACCTTATGTTTCCAGGCAAGCCAGCCAAAAAATTGAACTTTAGGTGGTAAGACTTTACTTCATAACAACCTACTAACCTTAAGGTAATTTCCATTTTCCAGTGTGCAAAGCTTATACAAAGAAGATACCGAAAAAATACCTGATGTTGCAGCTGTCCACTTTAGGTAATCAGTTCTATCCAGGCTTACTGAAGGACCAGTTGAGAGAATAGAGAATAAATTCTGCAATTCTACCATTTCCCATTCAAACAACTCTCTTCTAGGAAAAATTCTCCATTTCCCTGAGGTTTCCTTTAAAACTGCAAACAGATGAAGTGAACCCCTCTTTTCCTATTTTTGTAGAATTTTTGAAAGTTAGCTGTAAAACAGATTTTTCTGGCACAAGTCAACTATGGGAAATTTTCCAGTTATCTTGTGATGAAAACGTGCTAAATAATATGTATTAAACCCAAAACATTAAGGTGAAGGTGTGCCTTCGGAAATTTTGAGAGTTTGATATGGAAAAAGGTAGTCTTATACCGATTAAGAGAAATACAAGAAGGGTAGAATCGAGGCTCAACTCCTTTCATTTTTAACACATCCGAAAATACCATTTTAAACTTCTAATAAGGTGTATTTGAAAAAGGAAAATGAAAGAGAGAGTATTGTGACTTACTTGATTGCCTAGTGAAGTGTTTGTACAATTGTCTTACATTTTCCTCTTCTCTACTACCAAACTTCACTATCTTCCTCTTATTTCTTTCTCTTAACTGAATGTGTAGGTGTGTGAGTATATGAGATGTGTAACATATGAAGGGTGGTGTGTTTTTATAATAAAATTGGTGTAAAATGTTCAAAATGCCCATTAGTTGGAATGTAATGAAATTGAGATGTATTTAGTTGGAACGTAATGGAATGAAGGATCACTGGGGAGCCTAATCATGTGTTAAGGCATGATCTAGTTAGGGTTAGGCTTAAGTAGAACCAAGATAGTTACAAGTACAAGACAACTTTCCTTGATTTTGGGGTACCAATGATACTTTTTCCATGATTTAAGGGATTTGTCTCTAGAGTACCTATGATTGTAGCCTAGAGAGGGTGATGGCTGGCCATGTGCTAGATTTTGGGGGATTTTATTTGATTTTATATATAGATATAAAGATATTTGTGTATAAAATTATTTATTTAAGAAAGGTACATATATATATATATATATATATGTGTGTATATATGTGTGCAATGGTACTAGTTTGGGGTCAAAATGTGATTTAAGAAAAATATGAAGGCATTGGGTTTAATTTATGAATTGGAACATTTATTTTAGTGTAGAATTTAAATTAAATTGGGGTTAGAGAGCGTAATTCGGTTTGGATTTCTTGTTTCGAACAAAAACGCAATCAACTGACGAACGTGATAAAGACCGGAAAGCCTAGGGTTTCCAAGTGATAATTTCATATTTAGGGAGTCAATTAGAGTATTAGAAATTATTTCTAAGTTTCCAAAATCGATTAGGATTTGCAGTTTTTTGTTGGCTCGTGTATTTTGATCCTAGGGTTGCAATTAATTAAGAAGCTGATGGACTTCAAGGAAATAATTTAAAAGTAAGGGACTTTTAAGAAATTAAAATTTTCAGGGGCCTCACAAGTAACAAGAGGAACTGATCTCCAAAACACCTTTTCTTTCTTCTTGAACTTACCTCCCTCTCACCAATGCATCCGAGAAACAACTATGCCAGGAATAACCCAATGTATCCCTCACTTCAATATTGATGACCAAACCTGCCACACAAATGGGCAATGAAGGAGCACATGAGTTACTGACTCCAAATCATGTTGACAGAAGCAGCACAGCGTACAATTTCCTCTAGATAGGACCCCAATTCTCTGTAAAAATACAGAAGTCTTTACCTTATATTTCCAGGAAAGCCAGCCAAAAAATTGAACTTTAGGCGGTAAGACTTTACTTCATAGCAACCTACTAACCTTAAGGTAATTTCCATCTTCCAGTGTACAAAGCTTGTACAAAGAAGATACCGAAAAAATACCTGATGTTGCAGCTGTCCACTTTGGGTAATCAGTTCTATCCAGGCTTACTGAAGGACCAGTTGAGAGAATATATAATAAATTCTGCAATTCTACCATTTCCCATTCAAACAACTCTCTTCTAGGAAAAATTTTCCATTGCCCTGAGGTTTCCTTTAAAGCTGCAAACAGATGAAGTGAACCCCTCTTTTCCTATTTTTGTAGAATTTTTGAAAGTTGGCTGTAAAACCGATTTTTTTGGCACAAGTCAACTAGGGGAAATTTTCCAGTTATCTTGTGATGAAAACGTGCTAAATAATATGTATTAAACCCAAAAAAATTACGGTGCAGGTGTGCCTTTGGAAATTTTGAGAGTTTCATATGGAAAAAGGTAGTCTTATACCGATTAAGAGAAGTACAAGAAAGGTAGAATCAAGGCTCAACTCCTTTCATTTTTAACACATCTGAAAATACCATTTTAAACTTCAAATAATATGTATTTGAAAAAGGAAAATGAAAGATAGAGTATTGTGACTTACTTGATTGCCTAGTGAAGTGTTTGCACAATTGTCTCATATTTTCCTCTTCTCTACTACCAAAGTTCCCTATCTTCCTCTTCTTTCTTTCTCTTAACTGAATGTGTAAGTGTGTGAGTATATGAGATGTGTAACATGTGAAAGGTGGTGGTGTTTTTATAATAAAATTGGTGTAAAAGGTCCAAAATGCCCATTAGTTGGAATGCAATGAAATTGAGATGTATTTAGTTGGAACATAATGGAATGAAGGATCATTAGGGAGCCTAATCATGTATTAAGGCATGGTCTAGTTAGGGTTACGCTTTAGGAGAACCAAGATAGTTACAAGTACAAGACAACTTTCCTTGATTTTGGGGTACCAATGATACTTTTTCCATGATTTAAGGGATTTGTCTGTAGAGTACCTATGATTGTAGCCTAGAGAGGGTGATGGCTGGCCATGTGCTAGATTTTGGGGGATTTTATTTGATTTTATATATAGATATAAAGATATTTGTGTATAAAATTATTTATTTAAGAAAGGTACAAATATATATATGTATATATGTGTGCAATGGTACTAGTTTGGGGTCAAAATGTGATTTAAGAAAAATACGAAGGCATTGGGTTTAATTTATGAATTGGAACATTTATTTTAGTGTAGAATTTAAATTAAATTGGGGTTAGAGAGCGTAATTTGGTTTGGATTTCTTGTTTCGAACAAAAATGCGATCAACTGACGAACGTGATAAAGACCGGAAAGCCTAGGGTTTCCAAGTGATAATTTCATATTTAGGGAGTCAATTAGAGTATTAGAAATTATTTCTAAGTTTCCAAAATCGATTAGGATTTGCGGTTTTTTGTTGGCTCGTGTATTTTGATCCTAGGGTTGCAATTAATTAAGAAGCTGATGGACTTCAAGGAAATAATTTAAAAGTAAGGGACTTTTAAGAAATTAAAATTTTCAGGGGCCTCACAAGTAACAAGAGGAACTGATCTCCAAAACACCTTTTATTTTTTCTTGAACTTACCTCCCTCTCACCAATGCATCAGAGAAACAACTATGCCAGGAACAACCCAATGTATCCCTTACCACTTCAATATTGATGACCAAACCTGCCACACAAATGGGCAATGAAGGAGCACATGAGTTACTGACTCCAAATCATGTTGACAGAAGCAGCACAGCGTACAATTTCCTCTAAATAGGACCCCAATTCTCTGTAAAAATACGGAAGTCTTTACCTTATGTTTCCAAGCAAGCAAGCCAGCCAAAAAATTGAACTTTAGGTGGTTAGACTTTACTTCATAGCAACCTACTAACCTTAAGGTAATTTCCATCTTCCAGTGTGCAAAGCTTGTGCAAAGAAGATACCGAAAAAATACCTGATGTTGCAGCTGTCCACTTTGGGTAATCAGTTCTATCCAGGCTTACTGAAGGACCAGTTGAGAGAATAGAGAATAAATTCTGCAATTCTACCATTTCCCATTCAAACAACTCTCTTCTAGGAAAAATTCTCCATTCCCCTGAGGTTTCCTTTAAAGCTGCAAACAGATGAAGTGAACCCCTCTTTTCCTATTTTTCTAGAATTTTTGAAAGTTGGCTGTAAAACAGATTTTTCTGGCACAAGTCAACTAGGGGAAATTTTCCAGTTATCTTGTGATGAAAACGTGCTGAATAATATGTATTAAACCCAAAAAATTAAGGTGAAGGTGTGCCTTTGGAAATTTTGAGAGTTTGATATGAAAAAAGGTAGTCTTATAACGATTAAAAGAAATACAAGAAGGGTAGAATCAAGGCTCAACTCCTTTCATTTTTAACACATCCGAAAATACCATTTTAAACTTCTAATAATATGTATTTGAAAAAGGAAAATGAAAGAGAGAGTATTGTGACTTACTTGATTGCCTAGTGAAGTGTTTGCACAATTGTCTCATATTTTCCTCTTCTCTACTACCAAAGTTCTCTATCTTCCTCTTCTTTCTTTCTCTTAACTGAATGTGTAGGTGTGTGAGTATATGAGATGTGTAACATGTGAAGGGTGGTGTGTTTTTATAATAAAATTGGTGTAAAATGTTCAAAATGCCCATTAGTTGGAATGTAATGAAATTGAGATGTATTTAGTTGGAACGTAATGGAATGAAGGAACGTAATGGAATGAAGGATCATTAGGGAGCCTAATCATGTATTAAGGCATGATCTAGTTAGGGTTAGGCTTAAGTAGAACCAAGATAGTTACAAGTACAAGACAACTTTCTTTGATTTTGGGGTATCAATGATACTTTTTCCATGATTTAAGGGATTTGTCTCTAGAGTACCTATGATTGTAGCCTAGAGAGGGTGATGGCTGGCCATGTGCTAGATTTTGGGGGATTTTTGTTGATTTTATATATAGATATAAAGATATTTGTGTATAAAATTATTTATTTAAGAAAGGTACATATATATATATATATATATATGTGTGTGTGTGTATATATGTGTGCAATGGTACTAGTTTGGGGTCAAAATGTGATTTAAGAAAAATATGAAGGCATTGGGTTTAATTTATGAATTGGAACATTTATTTTAGTGTAGAATTTAAATTAAATTGGGGTTAGAGAGCGTAATTCGGTTTGGATTTCTTGTTTCAAACAAAAACGCGATCAACTGACGAACGTGATAAAGACCGGAAAGCCTAGGGTTTCCAAGTGATAATTTCATATTTAGGGAGTCAATTAGAGTATTAGAAATTATTTCTAGGTTTCCAAAATCGATTAGGATTTGCGGTTTTTTGTTGGCTCGTGTATTTTGATCCTAGGGTTGCAATTAATTAAGAAGCTGATGGACTTCAGGGAAATAATTTAAAAGTAAGGGACTTTTAAGAAATTAAAATTTTCTGGGGCCTCTCAAGTAACAAGAGGAACTGATCTCCAAAACACCTTTTCTTTCTTCTTGAACTTACCTCCCTCTCACCAATGCATCAGAGAAACAACTATGCCAGGAACAACCCAATGTATCCCCCACCACTTCAATATTGATGACCAAACCTGCCACACAAATAGGCAATGAAGGAGCACATGAGTTACTGACTCCAAATCATGTTGACAGAAGCAGCACAGCGTACAATTTCCTCTAGATAGGACCTCAATTCTCTGTAAAAATACGGAAGTCTTTACCTTATGTTTCCAGGCAAGCCAGCCAAAAAATTGAACTTTAGGTGGTAAGACTTTACTTCATAGCAACCTACTAACCTTAAGGTAATTTCCATCTTCCAGTGTGCAAAGCTTGTACAAAGAAGCTACCGAAAAAATACCTGATGTTGCAGCTGTCCACTTTGGGTAATCAGTTCTATCCAGGCTTACTGAAGGACCAGTTGAGAGAATAGAGAATAAATTCTGCAATTCTACCATTTCCCATTCAAACAACTCTCTTCTAGGCAAAATTCTCCATTCCCCTGAGGTTTCCTTTAAAGCTGCAAACAGATGAAGCGAACCCCTCTTTTCCTTTGATAAGCTATACAATCTTAGGAACTCTGTTTTTAAACAATGGGAGTTACACCACACATCCTCCCAAAATCTGACCCTACAACCATCTCTCATCCTTACTTTAAAATTATTTCGAAAGCACTCCTCTAGAAAAGGGTGCTGATTAGCCACTAAACTAATATCAGTCAATAATCTTGACTGCTAAGAATTGGTCCCAAGAATAGGCAACCAGGTACACTCCTCAAATTTATACTTACTACAAATCACTCTTCTCCACAGCACATTTGTCTCAGAAGCAAATCTCCACCACCATTTGAGTAACAAGTAAGAATTAGCAATTTTGACCTTTCTAATCCCCAAACCTCCTTGATCAATACTTCTAGTCACCTCCTCCCATTTAACTAAGTGAATTTTTCTTTTGAGATTAGAACCTCCCCAAAGGAATGTAGCTTGTAATCTATCAAAATCCTTTGCTACCCCTTCAGGCATTCTAAATAAATATAAGTAGTAATTAGGTAAGCATGATAGGACCATTTAATCAAAGTCAACCTACCAGCGAATGACAACAACCTCCTCTTCCAACTCACTAACCTCGCTTTAACTTTATCAAAGACTGGTTTCCAAGTCCTCCTCCTACTAGGATTTGCCCTCAATGGGAGCCCAAGATAATTCAATGGTAATGAGCCAGCCTTACAGTTAAGTATACCAGCAAATTCTATCAGGATCTCTTCTTCCACACCTACCCCACATACCATACTCTTATAATAATTTATTTTCAACCCTGATACAAGTTCAAAACATCTTAGGATTCTCTTGATATTCACTACTTCCTATACATCAACTTCACAGAATAAAATAGAATCATCAGCAAACTGCAAATGAAACACAAGTACACCATTAGCCCCAACCCTTACACCCAAGACTCTGATCTAGAGCTCTAGACAGAAGGACATTTAGACCATTTGCCACTATATTGCATAGGAAAAAGGAAAGAGGGTCACCTTGCCTTAACTCTTTTTGGGGACAGAATTCTTCAGTGGTAGAGCCATTCGCAAGGATTGATACCCTTGCTAATGTAACACATTCTCTTATCCAACCTATCCATCTATCACCAAAACCAAAACTTGATAACATTGAGAATAGGAACTCCCAATTGACTGAATCATAGGCCTTTTCAAAATCAAGCTTTACTATCACCCCCTTCCTCTTTGCCTTATTCCACCCATCAACCACCTCATTTGCTATTAAGACTCCATTCAAAATATTCCTGTCACTTAAGAAAGCAGATTGAGCCTCACTGATTTTTTTTTTGGCAGAACACTCCTTAGTCTATTTGATAACACCTTAGATAGAACCTTGTAAACTGAGCCCACTAGACTTGTAGGCCTAAAATCTGACAATCCCACTATATTCTCTTTTTTATTACAGAGGAATATTTTAAAAATCTATCTATCTTACTCCACTTATCTCCCTCTTGTGCATTGCACCAAGTGAACTTCCCACCCAACAGAGGATATCTGAAAATTCACATGGCTCAATGAAATTGTTGAAATCCCTCATACCTTTATCCCTCCTAGAGTAGCCTATCCTCTTGCCAACACATCTAATTTTAGTCTATCTTCCCACCTCATTATAATTATTATCTAGATTTATATTTATGGAGACTAGATCCTCTCTCATTCTGTTGTAAATTAATTTTCTACCAAATAATTAAGCTAAAGAGACTCATCATATAACAAAGAGATAAGTATTTTGATAAGGGGATAAAATCTCATATCGTATGTTCCGATATTAGCATGTTACAATTTATAATTATTATTACTACTATAGTACTATACCAAAAAAAATGTAATGCTTGTGTGTTTTCATAATCTATTTTCTATTTTTATTTTTCAACAAACACAAATTTGTTTGGTTTAGAAAACACCAAAAAGCATTTCGAAATTTCAGAAACTACTTTCTCACAATAACAAAAGTGTTTAGTGTTTTCAAACTTTTCAGTGCTTTTCTTTTTTGAAAATAAAATATGAAAATCCAACCAAATGAAAAATAAAGAATAAAAAATCTCTCTCTCTCTCTCATATTTGGTCCCAGCGGAGAGGACATTCATTTGCAGCATATTATTGCCGCCCCATTTGTGATATTCTCTCCCTTCGTAAAGATGCTGCATGGACCAATTCTCACTTTCTTTTTTATATATACTATGCGTGAAATACAATAATGAGAAGTCAATATATTAAACCAAAATGATTTCTCATCCAAACTAATGTAAATTAATGGTGAGACCAGGCTCCTGCAACCAACAAACATAAATCTACAAATATCCCCCCCAATGCTGTCATCCACGCTATGAAGCACGGGTGAGGTACAGATACGAATATGGGTATGATACGAATATATCGAAATGGTAAATTCTTTAAAAAGTAAAATACGGATACGATTGGGGTACGTCAATTTTTTTTTTAATTTTTTTTTTCAAATCTATAGCTAAACATCTGACATACAAATCAAAGTTTCAATATCAAAACTAAAACAAGAGCAACTTGTCTAAAAAGTTATATAATTCTTTTTTTTCTTTTTTTTTAATTATCTAAAACAGGATGTAAAAGAAAGCAAAACTATGACTCATGAGTAAAGAGTGTTGAAAATAAATTACTTAATATTTTTAAAATTGAAAGAAGAATAATAAAAGTTGCAATAAATTCTAGTAGCTGCCAAAAATAAAAAAAATAAAAAAATAAAAAAACCTTGCCATACCCATGCCATATCCATGACATACCGAAATGTATTTGTCGTACCCGGTATGTATTCGGCATACCCAGTACGTGTACCACCATGCCGCACTACAAAAAAAGCACTTTTGGCGACTAAATTTTTAGTCGCCAAAAGTCCGTTTTTAGTCGCCGAAAGTCGAAATTTTACTTTCCCCGACAAAATTTTTTAGTCGCCACATTTGTCGCGTATATGTGGTCGGCGGAAGTATTGGCGGCTAAAACTTTTTTAGTCGCCAAAATAAAAGTCTTTAGCGACCAAAATTTTAGTCGCCAATAGTGTTTTACACTTTTGGAAATCATACATTTACCGACTAATAATTTAGTCGCCAATACTCACTCAATCGCCGACTACACTGTTTAGTTGCCAAAATAAAGACTTTTGGCGACTAATAATTTTAGTCGCCAAAGGTGTCATCGAAAAAAAAAAACCCACTTTTTTTTGCTTTTTCTGAGTTTTAAACCCCAACCGTCCCACATTCCGAACCTTTTTGCAACACACTCCTTCCACTATGCCACTACAACATCACATGAATATATATGCAATATATATTATTTATATAGTATATTAACCGGTATTAATACAAAATAATATATATAAATATAATTTTTTTAATTCAATATAATTTATGTAAAAAATAAATTATTTACTTAAAAAAAATTTAGGCCACTTTTGGCGACTAAATTAAATTTTTAGTCGCCAATTCTATCATTTTTGGCTACTAATTATTATTTAGTCGCTAAAAAATTAAGTTCCGCCTAGAAATAAGCAGTTTTGGCGACTAAACCTGTTTTTAGTCGCCAAAAACGTTCTCTTTTGACTACTAAACTGAATTTTAGTCGGCAATGAACTGTTTTTAGCTACTAATTTTTTTTTTGTAGCCAAAAAGCTTCACTTTCAGCGACTAAACTGTATTTAGTCGCCAAAACCATCACTTTTGGCTACTAAACAACCTTAGTCACTAAAACCCCTACATTCGGCGACTAAACTGCCTTTTAGTCACTAATACCCTCATATTTGGCGACTAAACTCTTTTAGTCGGCAAAAGTTATCAATTTTGGCGACTAATTCCATTTTAGTCACCAATTGTACTACTTTCAGCGACGAAAAATGTAATTTTAGTCGCCAAAGGTGCTTTTTGTTTGTAGTGCCGGTACGCATATCCACACCCGGTACTCGTACGGCAATATTTTTGAAGTACTCGTGCTTCATAGCATCCATATGTGGCAACTTGATTTGCTTTGTCTTAATCTTTTTTCTTTTTTTCATTTTTTAAAAAAATTAATCTTGAATATGAGATCCACTGTACTTCAAATTTATATATCCGTATTACATACAATACATTGTTAACCATACATTCATGTCTTGAAATTTTATTATATTGTATATTAAGTGTGGAGAACATAATTTCAAATTAAAAAAATTCATAACCATTAACTTTTTCAAAAATAGTTAGCATTTTATATATATTTATTTGTTTGTTTCAGAAGGAGAAAGAACTTTGTTACTTATAGAAAAGAAGTACAAGTAGAATCTCAAAGTAAGAATTGTACCTAACATTTTCTTATAGTTAAGACAATGTTAGTTGTACAATCATGTTTTGAAATTCTCAATATATCATATAATTGAAGTACAAGAAAAAGAAGTAGAAGAAGAAGTTTTGCACCACAACTTAAAAAAGAATTGCACTTAAATAGAATGTTGGTTGTATCATGTTTCGAAATTCTCAATATATATTATATAATGAAGAGTGCATTTCTTACAGAAAAATAAATAGAAAATAATGCATGGTGTACAATTTTTTATTTATTTGGAGAAGAGAAAGAGCTTCATTACTTACAAAAGAAGTACAAGGGTTTTAGTAATAGAACATAAAGAAAGAGAAGCATAATTGAAGGTCACATTAGTGTACTCAATTATATGGTTAAAAACTAAGTAGGTTTTTATTTTTGCAATATTGCATATTGTGGGAAACTATTTGTAGAAAACAAAAAATCATAAGGATTCACATTTGAGTGCACAAAATAAGTAGCAATATGGGGAGGTACATGCTTCAACTAATGCCATACAAAACAATTGATACAACTTTTATGGGAATATTCTAAAACAATGGATTTGCCTTTCATTAATGCTGTGTTTGGTTAGGGGGTTTGGAGAGGAATTTGGAAAGGGAAAGGGAAAAAGAAAAGGTGTGTGAAACTAGGTGAAATATAGGCATGTTTTATTCACATTTCACCTACTTTTTCCGTTTTCCTTTCCAAATCCCTCCCCCAATCCTACAATCAAACACAGCATAATGGAACTTGTTAATAGTGGAAAGTAGACAATTTTTTTTTCTGAAACAATGGATTTGCTTTTCATTTCCCAAACATTCCGAAAATGAATTTTAGGATTAGAAAATGACATCAACAGGCACAAACAAAGACTCCCCATTACATGGGTTGTCAGTTTCACATGCAATGTAGGGAGGAAACCATATCAAAGCTCTGAATTGTTGGCAATAGGGGTCTTAAATCATTGTAGAAGAAGAACCCCTTTTTGTGTGTGTGTGTGTGTGTGTGTGTGTGGAACATCTCTAAGGTTAGGCGATTTTAAACTCATTCCCTCAAGTAAGTCTTGAATACATTAAAAGTAGTCGTTAACTACATGTATCAGGTAACTCCGAACATACTACTAAAAAAAAATTACTAACAATTTGAATTTATAATTCTATCCAAAGACTTTAGGTTATTCATGAACTTTTTCATTCTAGCGAAAGCAAACCAACTTGTGACTTGACATGGTCTTGAAGTACATCATGAGCTCCACTACAATTTTTGCTGTGAGCAAAAGGTGACATGCCACGTAGGGAGAGAGTGAAAGCCACCAATTTTTTATGCTTTTGAAGTTTGGTAGACTTAGTTGGAGCAATTGAAAATATATTGACACTTGTAGTAGTGGTGGAACATGACTTTAAGGTCCGTTTGTTTTTGAGAGATAGAACGGAGGAGATTGATAATGAGGGGATTGTTAGTGAGGAATTGTTAAATTATTTTTATATAAAATAATAAAATATAAAAAATTAAACATTATATTTAAAAAAAATTCCCAATATATAAAAAATAAAAAAATTTCTAATCCCCTCACTATTTTCTAATACCATCTCTACCTCCTCCTTACCAATCCCCCTTCTAAGGGTATTAGTAATACCAAGGGACTAATAGTCCCAAGGCTATCTCTGCAAACAAACAAGGGCATTAGTAATACCTTGATATTACTAATCCCAATACCCTCCCTATAGCCTAAAACAAACGGGGCCTAAGATGAATGTGGTAGAGCAAATTGGTAGTATGGTAACTAAATCAAATCAAATTAAGTTTTAAATCTTATTAAATGAAGTCGGTTAAATTGGCAGTATGGTAGTGGTAGAAAATGAAACTAGTCGAGTTCGAGTTAGAAAGAGTTCAGCTTGATAAAGCTCAGATGTATTGATATTTTATATGTATATAATAATATAAAATGTATTATATATGTTTATAATAATATTTATAAGGATAAATTACAATGACTTGTGAGATTTGAAAAAAATATAACAAACTTTGTAATTTTGACATATTTATATCAACTTTTCTTTCAGTAAAGTTGAAGGAACTAGAATTAATACAAATAGTGTGAAAATATAAAAATAAAAAGATAAAATATACATTTGAATATAAAAGGTATGACAATGTCATTTTTCTATTC